TGATCTAAGTCAGGGCATGGCTAACTCACAGATTGAACCCTGAAACAACCTCTGGGTTGATCTAAGTCAGGGCATGGATAACTCACAGATTGAACCCTGAAACAACCTCTGGGCTGATCTAAGGGCATGGCTAACTCACAGATCGAACCCTAAAACAACCTCTTGGCTGATCTTAGGCTGAACTCACAGATCAAATTGGAATTTAACCTGTTTGGTTTTGCGACGGAAAAAAAAACCGGGGAACCTGGAGGAACCCTGAAATAAAGGGAGAACGTACTCTACTGATATAAAGTAGTACCCTTTAGCGGTTGAAAAAATTGAAACTTAGTATGACAAAGAGAAAATGAACTAGTTCTTGTTATGATTGAATTTATTGAATATTTATGTCAGTTGAATTATTCTCTTTGTTGTTCAAATGTTATTTGATCCTTGAAATGCAAATACTCTGAAATATTCTTGTTATCTGGAAATCTTAGACTTACATTGGAGTAAAAAAGGTTTATGTACAAATTATAAACTGCTACAGTATTTATAAACAATTAGCGGCTCGAGCCCGAAGGTCAGAATGGGCTGTTGACTCACAGGCTATGAGGGCGGGAGGACTAATTGTTTTAGTCAAATCCAACTAGTAGGTCAAATATATAGATGCAAACAAGCTTTAAATTAAAGTTAAATTTAATGTCTTGGTTTTCAAAGCCGGCACTTTTCACTACTAGTAGGTTATAACTTATAGCCTAGTAGTAGGAATGCAGCATTGATGATAAACCGCTAGTTGGATTTGATTAATACGTAATAACTTCGTGTAATATAACGTTCAACGTCTGAACAACTATCTATTAGCTTTCCAAATATACAACTGACTAAAAACCAAGCTGACGTAGAAATATCAATTACTTGGCTTCAAAAACGCGCATCAATCATTAGACGCCTTGCATTTGACGTCAAAACAGCTTAATTTGGAGTAAAAAAACAAAAGAATTCAGTTCAACAAACCTATTAGAAACCTATTGTTATGTCCTCAAAATTGAGCTGCACTCCCACGTGCTGCAAGGGGACTATATTTGATCTTGGTTGACGCATCATTTCTTCATCATAAAAGCATAAAAATGTTCTCATTTGTTTAAAAAAGTCTTCTCTAAAGTAGTAAATATAAATGAATAAAATTGATTTAGAAAGCAAAGCAGGTTTTTCTTCCGTTGAAGGTCACGTCGTTGTTCCCCATAATGTAAAACGATGATTCAGTGACGTCATACTAATTAATGCCTTTCCATCCGTCCGGGTGTTCTGTTGATTTGGAATAACGCCAAAAAGTATATTAGACTACATGTTTAAGTTCGCCTTGCAAAAGTTCAAAGGAAGACTAGTAACTTTTGAAACAGTTTTCAGTAACGACCTTGTCAACCAAAAGGTTGTTGGACTGAATTTGGATGAATATGGGGGAGTCGATGAGATCATTATTTTTTGGTTGACGGGGAGGGGGGTCGAAGGGTCGAAATCATAAAGATTAAATGATACTCCAAAGAGGCACTTAGGAGTGGCTGCTTCTTTCTCATTTTTTTGTATCCCCTCTTTATTAACAGGCAATATATTGCTGGTTTTCTATCAATCCCAAAGGAGTGAAATAACAAAAGACACAACGACCATGTTGGTTGATATAACAAAAATATAATTCACTGACATTCTTTCGTTAAATTCAACCAAGATGGCTGCTATGCCGTCATGTGCAAACGAAGAATAGCTGATTTCCTCTCCCAAGTAAAAAACACTTTTATACCGCATTCAAGATAGTCAAATCTGACGTCATAGTATGTCATTTTACCATGATCCTTTGCGGGTTGCATATACAAATCTTTTAAAGTAATTTCATGCATAAATTGTGTTCCCAAACAAAATAAGTGTTTCAAGATGGCCAAGGATTGAGGTAGAATGACAAATACGTCCTAAAGTTCAAACTAACTCAGCATGCACATAATCTAAGGAGTTAAGTTTACGTTGCGCTTTGGAGCTTTTTTCTCAGGCTTTTACATAATCGTGCAGGCAGTATAGAGAACAAGCCATGGTCATGAATTTTGTTTACTTTTTTATTTAAAAAACAATGAATTTTTTATCGTAAGTTTACAAATATTGTTTTATTCTTTTTCTTTTTCTAATTTTGCGATTTACTTTTTGTAGGCTTTAGATTTATAAAACTAATATTGATACAATATACATATTTCCTAAAATGGTTGCCATTTTTACTGCCCTAACACAAAACATTAAATCGAGGCTTCAAGGGTAACACATTGCTTCCCACAGCCTTGATTCAATGCTATGTTTGTCATTAAAGCATCATTATCCTCACAGCCTTATTTACGTGTTAGGGCTTGGTCACTTTTAAATCTTAGTACGAAATATGGTAGCGGCTATTTTTAACTCTAAACATAGCTTTAGCATAATAAGCCTAACATAAAGTTCTGCTATAAGTTAACCAAAATCCCTTGCCTTCCCCCCACGGACATAGACCAAGTCCACCCTAGAGGGGAGAATTTGATACCGCAAAGGATCAAGGTAAAAGTAACTTTTGAATGACGTATCACACTTACACCTTCACATTATGTACATAGGCTTGTCTCCGAAATTTTGCAACACAAGGAAAAGTTTCAGTGCGTTTTAGATGTTTTTTCTTATTACATTCGATGTCTGATTGGTTCTCGCAAAAGTTCATAATTTGTTGACTTTTTACCCAGAACTCTCCGCGCCACCAATGCAACAGCAGCTGTCCCGACGATTGCAGCCGCAACACCACATCCAATGGCGACAGCAAGCGAGGAGATGGACTCCGCCGAATCGGAACCAGTGAGGTCATGGATCTAAACACAAGGAGAAAGGTCAGTAATGGATAATGTAAAGTACAATAGAAAAATAGTTTCTTTATTTACTTGTATAGCGCTTAAGATAAGATACAAGAAATATTATTCTTGACGTCAAAAGAAAAAGATTCTATCGAAATGACTATCTTACTTGAAGATCTGTTTGTTCGCTCATCTTCGTGAATAGAACTTCTTCTCCGTCTTTTGCATTAACTATAGTTGCTAAGAAAGAAGTGGAACTGTTAGTATTCAAAAAACAAAAACGAACGATCGCCTCCATGCATCAATCATGACTAACTTCCAGTGTATCAGATATTTGGACGAACACCTATCAATCACATCCAAATATCGATCACTTGACTAAGAGAAATACTGTTCACGCACCTCTAAATATCGACCACTTGTCTGAGAGAAATACTGATCAGTCACCTCCGAATATCGACCAGTGAGCAATCGCACTCACATAACAAGRGACTGGGTACCAGTCCAAACCTAAAACACCTCACGTCATTACTGAGATACAATGCGCATGCGTCATTCCTACCTCCATTTGAAATGTTACAGTGCTTTCCTTCCCAGCCGATGTAACATTTACACTCTCTTGATTCGGTTGAGTTGTCAACGCAGACTCCGTTGTGACAGGGAGGGTTGCACGTTACTATGGTAACGAAAAGAACTTAGCAACTGACGGTGACGACATTGGTGGAGACACTTATCTATCTATCTAATGAATAGTAGGGAATCAAGGGAGATGTAGCGATATTGCACTCGCATCTTACCCCTGTTGTCTCGGGATCGGTTCCCAGACTCGGCATCACATGAGAGCAGAGGTTTTTTTGGTGTATTTCTCTATTTGAGTGTTTATCTCCTGATCCTACGATTTTCCTCCCTCCCAAAAATCTAGCAAACTAATATCAATTCCAATTCGCTCTGTGGGTTAGCCTTGCCCTGACTTAGATCAGCCCAGAGGTTGTTACAGGGTTTGATCTGTGAGTTAGCCGTGCCCTGACTTAGATCAGCCCAGAAGTTGTTACAGGGTTCTATCTATGAGTTTGTCGTTCTCTGACTTTGATCAACTCAGGTTGTTTAAGGTTTGCATCTGTGAGTTAGCAATGCTCTAACTTTAATTAGCCCAAATGTTGTTTCAGGGTATCCATGAAATTTGAATGATTTTTTTTTAGAAGTGAATGAAAGAGTTCCTTACATCGTTTGCTGCAGGTGTCACCAAAGTGCCCCAAAGCGCATTGACATGTGTCATTATGAAGACACCTGCCATAAACTCCACAGCCACTAAAACCGCAAAAACCTGAAGTATAATAATATCAGAAAGATCAGGCTTAATACGCTTCACGACCACTAGTGAATAAAAATCTGAAACAAATTAGAAAGCATAACCAGTCGAGAGCTTAAAGAGGAATGTTAGTTGTGTGAAAAAGCTGTTTATTCTCCATACCTATTCTTGCAGTTTTGTTGCAATCTTCGCCCTCAAAGCCTCGATCACATAAGCAGTTATTTTCACCAGCGCACAGTCCATTAACACATGGCTTAGCACAGAAATCTGAAATTTATTTAAGATCATTTAAATAAGACTTATAGACCTCTTTCCCTTGAGCGTAATGTTCCCCCATGTGTCTTCTCATGCGCAGCCATTAAAAAAAGAAATGATGCTCTAGAGAATGACACGTGGTCTGAAGTGGGAAAACATAAGGTAAAGATGTCTATTAGAGACCTGTCAGCGATTAAGTCTAATGTAAAACGGTTGCCGTAGCAGCAATGGTTGCCTAGCAATGGTTGCCTAGCAATGTTGTTACCTTTGTGTTTCTGTCTTTTATTGTTTCGTTTATTCATATACACAATCGTCGGATTAAAACTTTTCGATTTCTTCACCGGGACACTTTGACAGAGTTCGTCAGAGTAGCACTCTACAGTATAACATTTCTGCTTCAAGAAGAAAGCAACGTCACAGGATTCACTTTGACAGCATCGATCAATGCAATCGTAGACGTTGTCGACCACTCCAATCTCTTGCACTTTGCCTGCTGTCTTGCCCCCTCTCAGTGTAAAGTTGTAGGCGATTCTACTCGGGACACAGTGATGGGGTTTCTTTGTTACTAAAAGATATCAATAGTGAATTAGTGTTAAGCTATTACTTTGGTGTACACTTCTCCCTGTATTTTTACGCATATATTTGTATATATATATTTGTAAGTTAAAGGAAGAAAGGAGGTAGGAGAGGAGAGGAGAGGAGAGGAGAGGAGATCTAGGAGAGGAGATGGACGGAAGGAATGAAGGAGGGAGGACTGAGGGAGGGGAGAAAGTAGAAGGGAAGGAAAAAAGGATAAAAACAAAAAACAAATGATAAGGACATTTAAATGATAATACAAACTTAAAACAGGGAAGTGAGGGAGGGTTCGAGTTTGAACTTGAGTTAAATGCGCTTGTATAAAATTTGTCTTTTTATTTTCTTAAAAATGAATAGTGCAGATAGAAAAGTAAGAGTTTACCATATTTTCCGATTCCTTGTGTCTTTTTAAAGTTCTCGATATCATCACCTTCTCCTCCACCTCTGACAATATGCGAGATCTGCACACTCCCATTGGCTGCCATGGACGGTATGGCGGGAATACTTTCACAGGATTTATCAGAATGACATTTCACAGTATAGCAAACATTTCCAGGCATGAACGCTACGTCACACGAGGGATCGTGACAGCACGCGTCTACACACGTCTGCATGTCACGCATCACGCCAAGTTTAGTGAATTTTCCTGCGTTTATTCCCTGTCGTAGCGTGACATCTTTCCTGATGTCCAGGTGTGTGCATGTCGGTAGTTTAATTGTGTCGAGGATTTTAGCGTTTTCTCCTTTCTGATCCACAAGAAAGTATTGGAAAACTAGAGGGGAAAATTAATTAATTAGATTTAAGCCACTAAATGTTGAGTCACTTTAAAAAGAAGAAGCCGTTACAATAAAAAATTCAAATTGAGCCGCGTTTCTTTTGGCCCAGAAATGTTACTTAGCGGAGACCACAAGGAACGTGAGCTCTGTGAATGAGAATGTGTTAGATGAATAAATGACAAAATAAGTTTGACTAAAATGACAATAGAATAACATTTACAGAGGAGCATTCACGTTACAAACCCTTAGTGCAAAGCATAATGGGATTGTCAGGGGATCGTTGGGGGAGAGGATAGAAATGCTGATTTTTGAGCTAAAATCCCAGGGTGCATCACGCATGACGATGAAAGCGTGCGTGGTTATGTTATTTCTTATCAAAAATGCCTATTTGGTTTTTAAGATGCGCCTTCTCTCAGTCACTTTCTAACATAGATATAGGTGTCCTTTAAACCAATCGCAGCGCGCGAGGTTACTGCTTCTCCAAACAGAATGTTCAGACGAGCACGATACGGTACAGTTTGTACCACAATTTATTTTTTGAGTCTCGTGAAATCTACTCTAACAAACAATCACTGACCTTGTGCAGTGGCAAGTGTGATGATTTGAAATGTCCATACAATCTGCCAACAGATCTTCATCTTCTGTTTCAGGAAAGTATCTCTTCACTGTTTTACCTGAAACAACAAACCAATTAAGTGCAAACTAGGATAGCTGTGTGGCACACACGAGAAGGTTTGGCGGGAAACGAAGTAAGTTCTCAATGATTCTGTAAATTTAAACGTGTATCCTGAGTTGTCTTATATGGCACCCCTAACCTGAATATCAGGCCTTCGGGATCCCTGGGGAGGAATTGGGGGCCTGGGGAGAGGGGGAAAGTTTGGGAGAGCATGACACTCGGGTTACGGCGCTTCTATTCATTTGAGTCTTATATTTTGGAATCAGGATTCTAAATCTAAACCTCATTGTGATTGGACCCTGAAACAACCTCGGGTCCTTTTATGGCTAACTCACAGATCCATTCTTAGAGTGTTGGGGTTTGTGGAGGGAAGAAAACCAGAGAACGCGAAGAAAAATCCTCAAATCAAGGGAAAGACCTAACAAACTCTAGTCTTGGGGCGGATCCAGAGAAGGTGTACAGGGGGTGCGCACCCCTCCCTGGTTCGACTTTGTGCCCCTACTTCGAAGATAACCAATACAAAATAATGTTTTTTCCCTTTGATTGTAAGAGGTGAACCCCTCCCTGGGTTAACTTTGTGCGCAGCAGCCGTCCCTGTCACGTGATGCCGAGTTCAGGAATCGATGAAAGGCGAGTACCCTTCCACTAAGGCGCCCTTGGTTCCCATGATATGCTGAATGTTTCTCATTTGATCACGCATCGCGGTCTAGACGTTAATGTTCACCGTTTAAGGAGAATATCTTTAGGTGGTGTCATTTGGTTATCTAAATACTGATTCGATCGTTCTTGGGTTTGTTTTACCAACAAAAACTAGAGTTTTCCATATTAATCTATATTTCCTGTTTTTGCTTTTACTTTCTCGTGATGCAATCGAAGTAAATAATATAAAAACTTAATTAAAATACAAAGTGCAGCTACGAGAAAACCCTTGAAATTTTAATTTGAGAGCTAAAAATCACCAGGATTGCTTGAGGGAAAATACTAAGATCAAAACATTAGGATTTGCTCTTTTGATTCTATGAAAATTGCTTCAATAAGATGAGACCTTTGTAGTTCTTTAAAATTGTAGTAGATATATTATCACTTTATCGGAATTGTTTCTTAGATATGTGGGTGAAGCATCAAATTAGACCATCATGATTTACACTAGTGCAGTGTAGTAACTGATTTTCATTGCTATCGACAATAACATAATGTTATATTTTTGTCACTTATGTAATTGAATTTTGAATTTTGAATTTTGAATCTTGAATTTTCAATAATAATTTTTTTATCATCGCTTGCCAATTTAGGATCCTATGATTTCTGTGCTTAATATTTAAGGCTACATTTTTAGGAACTGCTTGAATTTTGCCTCTAAAAATAACTTCCAAGAAAGTCCGCCATTTTGTTCGTTGGTTGGTTATTCATCCATCACACATCGACACCGATGAACAACTTTAATATTAACAATCGACTAAACTACCCATAAAACCTTACAAATTATCTACACATACTTACAAATTCCAGTTAATTCTAAGGATTTTTAGGCCATTCCATCACAATGACAGCTTTTTTCGCTCAGATATCGGAGCTTAAGAAGATCGTGAATCAAAGAACACACGAACGAAAGATGAAATCTAAAATAAGATATTACGTCATTACTTTATTTTGATAAAGAGAGGATGAACACTTAAATATTTAACGACTAAATTTACTCGAATCAAATCTTTATCAATCCTTTATTATTCATTTCATAAATATGACGCTACTAGTAGTGTATAAAAGATTCTTGTAGGGTTTGAGTTTTTATATAAGGTTTTTTGGTCCTTTTTTCTAACGTCTAAGGAGACGAAGTGAAGTGCAGCACGAGTTATAACCCTTTTCAGAGGCCATGGAACCCGTCGTATATCAATATATCACCAGTTCGATGGCTTATTGTTTATGACAGGTTGAAAAAAGGAAAAACTCTTTTAACTGAACAGTAATTAAGCACTGTATAGTGAAGTTATTGATATGAAAATAAGGAGTTAAGATTGGATGAACGTGAAGTTATTTTTGCGAAGATTTAAAGAATACGATGTAACTATTAAGTTAAAGTAACTATTAATGTAAAAGCTAGTGTAATAAGAGGGGGGATTTAGTTTCCAAGCTGTGAAGAGAAAACTGGAAAATTGAGAGAGGGTTGAGGAATATACGAAGCGAATAAGAACGCAAGATGAAAAAATGTGAAAATGAAAAAAAATGATGAAGAAAGTAAAATGTGTCAAGGATAAAAAGGATGTCTGATATGAAAAGCTGGGGAAATGAAATAAATGTGGAATAAATAGATGAAAGAACTAAAATGGGAAATAACTAGTAATGCAAAAAGATGAAAAATCAGAGATTAGAAAATGAAAACAATTTAAATGTAAAGACAGAAAAATGTGTCAAAGACAAAAAATGTGTAAGATATGGAAAAGAAAAGCGGAAATAATATAGAGGAATAAAGAGAATATGGAAAAATTAATGTACAACTAGACGAATAATGAGAAATCAGAAGTTAAAGGAAAAATAACTATTTTTTATTGATGGTTTTTAACCATTCCCAAGAGAATTAAATAACAAAAGACACGACGGCCATGTTGGAGGATATAACAAAAGAATTGATTGACAATTCGTTTGTTAAGTTCCCTCCAACATGGCCGCCGTGAAAACCATCAATTGATAAATATCTATGTATAGATTAATTTTAATTTTAAAAAACACAATAAAACATCAAATCATTTAACTCAACATTGTAATTTTCTGGTAATTTTATTGTCGTTTGGTTTAATACTCAAAACGAATAACGATAGATTCGTCATAAGTTTGTTACTGTTCTTATTCGTATCTTTATTGGCCAGTACTTCATCCTTACTGGATACACACTCATCTACCAAACTACTATATACCATATAGACTTTTTCGATGCAAATGCATTCTTCAATAGACCTAATCGGCTAACGTGTTGCTATGTACGTTACCACCCAATTCAAACCTTYTGGGAAWAGAAGCGTTTGTCTCTACGAATTCAACTGTGAAACCAAAATATAACGAACAATGAAACTTAGTCCCATGTGGTTTGAATTGGGTGGAAACGTACATAGCAACACGTTAGCCGATTAGGTCTATAACTCGTCGTTGTCAAGACAACCTCTCACGTATTCATATCATATCCGAGGCTTCCCAACGCTTGTTTTACATGTTCCCTCCGCTAAAAGCAACCAGATTTCTTTATACATTGTTAAGCTTTTCTGCTTGAGCCTTTCCCTCAAATTAAATACATTGTAGATAAAAACTACAGTCCATATGTCGGGATCCCTGTGTTGAAACAGCAACACATGAGCACTAAATATTCCGCTAGTCTGTATGAATGTGGGCTCAATAAGAACCCCGGTCACGTGGTTTCTAACTTTAAAACAATTGGCAAACGAAATGGGAGGTGTAGATTTAGCCTTAGAGAGAACTGCTTGTTTGAATTATGATTATTTACAATCCAAATATTGGATGTATTTAATATTAATATTAATCTAATAGTTAATGTTAATATTAATCTAATGATTAGCTGCTATGACTGACATGAAAGCCATTAGGCTGCTGTGTTTTTACTGTTGTCAATCAATCTTCTTGTCATCATGATAACACCAGCCACGCCCACACAGACTGCGACTGTTCCGCAACCAACAGCCACCACCAGGTCAATGACGTCTGAAGACCTCTTGGTTCGTTTGTATTTACCAGTCTGAATAAATTAAGCAGAAAGTGGTCAGCGGTGAATCTTAAAAGAGCATGCACAATTATAATGCCATTTGCGAAAGGCATTATGAAAGGTGGTGTAGTGATAATGCACACATCTCTCAACTGTTGAACTCCAGGTTCGATTCCTGGGCTTGGTTTCATGTGGGAGTAGAGTTTGTTAGCTCTCCCTTCATTCGATGGTTTTTCTTCCATCACAAAATCAATTGCACTAAATTCCAATTCGATCTGTGAGTTAGCCATGCCCTGACTTAGATAAGCTCAGAGGTTGTTTCAGGGTTCGATCTGTGAGTTAGCCATGCCCTGACTTAGATCAGCCCAGAGGTTGTTTCAGGGTTCGATCTGTGAGTTAGCAGTGCCCTGACTTAGATCAGCCCAGAGGTTGTTTCAGGGTTCGGATCTGTGAGTTAGCCATGCCCTGACTTAGATCAGCCCAGAGGTTGTTTCAGGGTTCGATCTGTGAGTTAGCAGTGCCCTGTTTTAGATCAGCCCAGAGGTTGTTTCAGGGTTCGGATCTGTGAGTTAGCCGTGCCCTGACTTTGATCAGCCCAAAGGTTGTTTCAGGGTTCGATCTGCATGTGAGTTAGTCGTACCCTGACTTTGATCAACCCAAAGGTTGTTTCAATGCCTTGATTTAGTTCAGCCCA